GGGCAAATTATAGGCTACTTTTTCTTAATAGTGCGTCGACGAAGTCGCAGTCAACAGTTATTTAAAGTAAATATATTTCTCTACTCAAGATTAATAAATCATTTTTAAATGTAAAGTTTATCGTATCGTTTTTCGATAATTTTCACAAACACAGTTTTCCTAACCTCAATAAACTATGCAAATTAACCTTGTCAATCTTAATTATAATCAACTATATGTTTATAATATGATATTACGAAAACATATTCCGATAATGCGGAAATATATAAATAAACGCAATTATTATAATAATAGCCTATTCAATATTAAGTTGCCATAATTAATGTCAACTTACGTTATATAATACATACTAAGAAACTACATACTTAAATATTGGTGAATAAAACATTAAAAATCATAAGCATATTATATAACTGTTGCTCGCGACTTCGTCCGCGTGAAAACAAAACTAACTAAAAAAAAGAATAAACAATATACTCGTACCTATGCTACTCACAGATAAATTGCCTTTCCAACTGTGCAACAATTTTTTAAATCGGCCAAGTAGTTTTTAAGTTATTTCAATAATACAAAGATATAAATCTTTCCTCTTTATAGATTTAATAATAACTAGCTGAAACCTTTGACACCGTTTTCGATGAATTATAAAAAATAGTAACCTATGTGTTCAAACTTTTATGAACATCTGTGCCATCTAAATTTCTGCATTTATACTATTAGTATGAATTATGATGATTCTTATTTAAAAATAAAAATTATATAGGGAATTTACACAATACCAAGAAATAATACATATCTACCTAAATAAACTAAATGATGTATTTGTGGTTTCACTTATTTTTGAACGCGGAAATTTTACGTTCTAACAAATTGTCGCGAAATCTTTGTAAAGGATTCTGACTCAGGATTCTTAAGTCACATTATGTTGCAGATAATATAAAAGCTTATTGAATCATAGGCTGTAAGGTCAATGTTTATTTACTTAAAACATGCGGTATTATATGATTGTACTTCGACTGTTGTTTTAGCTTCACTAAAATATATAAAAAGTAAGAACCGACTGTATATATGACAACACTGAGGGTAGGAATACCAACTTAAAGGATAAATAGGCGCGAAAAATAACTCTCCTGAAAAAGTCGAGTAAGTATACAAGTTTGAATAAGTTGATGATTTTGCGATTAGCTTTTTAGGTTTTTTTTTAACTTATAGTTTTTTTATTACATAAAAATAGATATCGAATGGTTTTGTTTTTAAAAATACAGTGTCGCCATATTAAGAAAACATGCATATTATGGTTATAACATTAATATAACTAACAAGAAATAACCCTGAAGTATGTGTAAAACAATAGGACTCCATACTTGAGGCAAGTTAACTCGGACCTTACCGCAGAGGTCAAGGACCTCACACTATAGTACTATTTTATGAGACAGAGGTTGGAAACATTTTAATATCGACTGTAGATTGTAGATTGTCATTTGATTTGTATGTCCGTTCAATTGTATTTAAAGATTTTAAAAAATGTTTTTGTCCAAACTTTTTTAAATGTCAGAGGAACGATTTGTTTATTTGTATGTTTTAAAACTATAAAAAAAATCGCCAACCATAACTGATTCGAGGTTATAAGGATTTATTTCAAACACTACATCAATGACCAAGCAAGGAAAATCAGCAAAAAATCAATAAAGGTTATATGAAAAGTATGATCGAAAAAAGGAGCAAAGGTAAAAAACGCGACTGAGGTCAATCGTTCATCAGCCAGTTATGCGTAACCTCTGTCAGGGTAAGGCTCCGTGACATTGGCCCTGATTGGCCGCTTCTTGACAGGTATTATCCGCAACTGTCATTTTTAAATGACAGGATAATAGCGCTAAAGATACACTTGTGTCAAAAATGCAAACAAAAACATAAAGTCATGCCTTCGACCTTTCCAAGGTTTTAGGAATCGATGTCCAACTTTTTTATGATTTTTGACACATCACATGCTTCTGTTTTGTTTTAGTTTCCTTTCCACGTATTAGTTCCACAGTAGAGCAGCGGAACGTATTATTCAAAATAGTACTGTTATGTCGATTACCAAAGAGAAAACATATGTAGAATGAATATACAAACGGGATTATTGTCTCTAACATAATTTCGTAATTAGGAAACCATTCGAAATCAATCCTTGATCTAGCTTGTTACATCACTATTACATATAATAAGTAACTTTATAATTAGTGATGTCCATTAATCTACATGAATCAATAACTGGTTTATCGACATCGACGTGTACCATAAATCGCCATTACAGATTCTGTTGAGATACGATGCTCAAATATTACGCAAGGCGTTCGAAAAACTCGAATCGATTCGGGTCAAAAACTGATTCATTACGGCCGCCATTGAGGGCTTTGATAAACGATACAATGTAGTTAAGTCGATTCATATCTGATGGTACAATGTGCGTTGATTACTTTTGCAAATTAAGAATACCCATATAAGTAAAATAATTTTGTATTTACTCGATTTTAGATTTAACACTGGGAAAGCCTATATCTGTTAAACGAATTGCTTGTTCAATGCAATATCACGACCACACAGAATATAGCCGTGAAGATATTCCGCGTATTGTGAGGAGTGTGCTTGCCGGAGACCATTTGGTCTCCCTATGTCTACAGATAAAACGCGGATTTGCTATCACTTCACGGCTATTTTCTATGCGGTTATGGCATTGCACCGGGCACGTGGCACATATGTGCAAATATTATTGAGACATAGATAGTATAACACATAGTAAAGGGAAATATCTCCAATCTGTCTATTATAGGAAATCAGCAAATGCAGGCATCTATGGAGAGTATGTCTATGGATATTGAATTCAGAAGCCACTTGCTCGTTTTCAAATCTTATATTATTACTAGCTGTTCTCATGCGACTTCATCCGCATAAAATTATGAAGATTTTATTTTAATATTTACATTTGTCAAATTATCAATAGCAATTGTCAAAATGACATGACATTCAAACCATGGCAACCTTGCTTCCTTTATGTTGGCAGTAACTTATGGTCTCTTTCCCACATGAGGGCTTTTATCCAAAATGTTTACCCCCAAAGTTTAATGGCGTGAAAATATATAGCCTAAAGCGTGACGTAAGTGTAGGGCTTTTTATTAAAAAAAGAATCATTCAAAAATATGCTGTAATTGATGACATCTTAGGTAACAAAGAAGTGTGTGTTTACGCTTTATTATAATAGTATTGATGATGAGAGTCGTTAAAATAAAGTTTTATGTACAAGAATAGTAAACAAAAAAGAACTTTAGAAAATTAACATACGTTTATGTTTCATGTAACAAATCAAACGCTTATCTTTTCTATTTTATAATTATTCTAAAACCATCAAGATTAAATTGTATATTATCAAGATTTGAATGATTAAATTGTAAATTAATAGTACAATAATGATACCGCGAAATATATTGCCAGTTAAATTGAAATCGTTAAAGTGTTGCCATTTAATTAAAATTAATATATTCCCCATATCGGCACCTTTCTTGTGACAAGTAAAATGTTGGAACATTAATTATAATCAAATTTAAGAGTACACGTGTTTTTCCACAGGAGTCATAAATTATCAATTTGTATATATGGTCCTGGCTGTAAACAATGTAACGATAGAAAAATAAATCGCTATAAACATTACGTCTTCAAGTTTTCACTGCAGTTTTTTTTTAAGAAAAAGAGTGGGACGTCTATGTTTTTGTTCAGGTGTTTTGTTTGTAAAAATCTACTATGACAAAAAAAGCTCAAAGAACTCCTTCACCTATATCTAGGTAACGTTTGCAAAAATGCCAACATTGGTTGTTATAAAAATTATTTCACGTAAACATAACTTGGAACTTAGTATTAAAGAAAAATCTAGAAATTATAGAATCATTCCTTTCTGTTGACAGATGATGTATCTAATGACGTCATCATCGCTGTTAAAAACCGAACATATGCCAGAGGTAATTTAAATTATGGACCCGCAAAGGTCAACCAGAAAGTTCAACCTAACTCATCAATTATTGATACTCTGTGGTTTCAATAAAAGGCGGTAAGAGCTTTTTACATGCAAAAATAACCATGATGTAAGAGAAAAGACGTAAATTTAAACATGATCAAGGTGTTGATGTAACAGAAGATAAATCGAACTTATGGACGGTAAGCGGTGCGTTTACCTATCGTAAGTAAAACAAGGACAGGGATATGATTTTATCATGAAATGTCATCATTACTAGCTCACTATACGTCCCCACTGAAGGGCTCGGATCCTACCCTAAGTTGGGGTAACTAGGTCATAGTCAACCACGCTGCATTGCGCGTTGGTTGACTTCACACAAATCTTTGAAATTCTTCACCGATATGTGCAGGTTGCATCACGATGTTCCTTCACCGTAAGAACGTTGGGTAAATTATGTACATACGAAAATTGACTCTGGTTCATGGCGGTATTCGAACCCAAGACCTGTACGAGTATATTACAAGTCAAGTACGTTACTTCAGTTTTAATGTTACAATTATGTCTAAATGATAATTGTATGTATAAAAAATGGCGTAATAAAATAAACAGAGCAATGTTTTTTTTGCATATTTTAGTAATTAAGCATGATGAATATTTACAATGAACAAACAGATTTTACCCGCTTATTTCCTTAGCAACGAACAAAATTAAAGCATATGCAAATGTGACATTTCTAGACCAAACACGATCAAAACAAATATAACTTGCTGTCCAAAAAGATGTTATGTAACTTGTAAATTAGTAATTAATCTTATTTATTACAAATGCGAAAGCTTAAATGAATGTTTGTTAGATTTTGTGGCCTAAACTGAACAGATCGAGACACAATTTGGCCTAAATGTAGAGCATAGCCTGGAAGAACACAAAGGATTTTGTGTCTTTTTTCCATGCGAACGGAGTCGCGGGCGAAATCTAGTTTATAATAAAGATGGATCAACTGTCATACACTTACCTTAGTATTAAGAGAGTGTGTGGAGAAGAAAGAACATAGGAGGATAAATGTGGACAGCCAGTGGGTCGACACGTGCGGCGTCGCCTCCATTGTGCAACTGGAACAAAGTGCATTTATTAATCACTGGAATCAAAATTCGAATGATACCTAACTTATCGAAATTAGTTAGACAAAGAAACACTCAATTAGACCTCCAAGGCACATATGGAATTTTGTGTATTAACGTCATTTTGGAAGCGTCACATTTTGACCAATCGAGGAGCCGCATTTGCTCGGATGAATTTCGCTATTTCAATAATTTCGAAATTCAAATTTTGAAAAAAAAAATTGCATTTGGTTTGGTTTTATTTTCAACATGGGATAATTTCGAAAGAAATTGGGAAGTTTTTGTCTACTGGTAACTTTAAAATTAGCAGACCGAAAGATCCTTGTAGGTCTATAGCTACATCGCTTTTCGAAAAGTCAAAAATGCACTGACTTATAATAATAAACAGACTATATTTTAGGTCTATTTCATATAGAGATTGGTTGAGGTGAAGACTACTTACTAACTAAAGCCTTACTAACTTACTCCAACATCAAGTAATCAATAAAGGACGCTCTTATCGACCCCATAATGTGAGCATAATAGTGACGCGGTCGTTTCAAATATGCCAAACACGCAATGTATGAGGCCGTAGTAAGGAAGTGAATGTTCAATCGATTTAGTCAGAATTCGACCTTAAATTTAACTGTAATAGTTCCAATATAATTGATAACAATTATCACATTTTATTAACTAATTATTAATAACTATTATAGTAAATGTATAGCTCTGTTTAGAAAATAAACAGTCGATTGGCTCAGAAATATGTAATTTTGTATTTCTTCCTATAAAATAGTATCTGAGATAATGTTACTTAATGTGAATTAGCCGTTTAAATGGTTGAAATGTTATTATTTAATAATTAACTCTACATCAACTTATATTCCACTTATCTAACAAAATAAACACTTATATCAGTTTCTATTTGAACGGAAAACGGAAATTCTGACACGATTTTTACTTCGAATTTTCAAATAAATAATTTTATTCGAATGGCAACCCTAAACAGCTGTCAAAATTATAAAAAGCATAGATTATCTACAACATAGACAAGCAAAATATACACAAATAAAATTCGGGGTCATCGAACGAGGCACAAAACGTTTCTTCTCAGAAATGTTCGGGACGAAATATTAATAAAACCTCTGATTTTGCCTCCTGTTTCCGCGTCATACGTCAACCGGTCGAATATTGCCAGGAGGAAAAATAATAAACAAATTTAAATTTGAATAGGGCAGCATTCATCTTATAACCGTCAATTAATAACTGTTATCTGGACAGTTACTAATTTCTACTTGATATTAATACGAGTATATCTAACTTTTATAATAGGTTTCTTTATAATTCTAATTTTAAAAGGATTCTTTCTTAGAAAAATCAACGCTTCTAATGAACGCGATGAAATGTGGTAATTAATTACATTGCATTAATCTGCTTCAAATTTTAATTTCATGACAGTTAAGGTCAAAGTCCTTAGATAAAAAAAGAAACAAATGAATCAGAATTTTGTACGTTACTGATATAACGGCCTAATACATATTTCATCGAAATCTGTTCAGCCGTTTAGGCTATAAACTTTAACAAACTTCCATCCATCCATATATAATTTCGCATTTATAATATTAGTATGAAGTATGATTAGGTGTTGCTCACAACTTCACCCGAGCGAAATTATTTTAACACATACAAAAATACAAATCATTCCTCTTTTATAAAAAGTATAGACATGTTTAGATATGAGACAAAAGGATAGGCTTACAAAACAAAGCAACTATCTTTCTGCAGGCTACTACAATGAGATTGTAATTCCCGTATAAACTGCCATCTAAACAAAGGCATCGGTGGCTCAGTGGTTTAAGCACTTGATTTGTAATATTCGGGTCTTGGGTTCGTATCCCGCCGTACCAATGTGATTTCTTCGAATTTCTATATGTATATAATTTACCCGACGTTCTTACGGTGAAGGAAAACATTGTAATGCAACTTGCACATATCGGCGAAGAAATTCAAAGATATGTGTGAAGTCAACCCACCCGTAGTGGGCCAGCGTGGTTGACTATGGCCTAGTCATCCCTTACTTAGGGTAGGCTTCGAGCCCTTCGGTGGGGACGTATAGTGAGCTGGTAATGAATGAAACAAATGCAGCTGGTTGTCCGTCTATTTGACCAGGTCAATGACCTTTTTTATTCGCTTGGTATAAACTCAACATCCAAACAAGCAGACCACCAACATCGTTACAATTATATTAACTGTTTCAATCACATTAGTAATTGATTACTGCGCGAAGGTACATTTCGGATGAAGGAGAATTCGTAATGATCGTTGCATATACCGTATTTATGAATTATTCAACATCCAACGATGTTTATCATTGAAAATAAAGGCGAGGTACATACAATTAAAGAGATTTAGGACGCAATGTATGTTACGTTTTGTATTTACATAATTTATATTGGCCGGTCAATTAGTAAGTCGGTGGAAGTAGGAATTCCCGTTACGAATTTCGAAAGGAAATATGTTGGACATACATTACATATGTAAATGAATGCGCTTCGCATCAATGAGATTACGATTAAAAATTAAGAATATCGTTTTTTTATAACATTTACACGCACGATATTCAAAAGTGCCAGTTAGGTTAGCGGGTGACATTTGGTTACGGTTTTTCTTGCATCATCTGAATGTTTTTACAACTTGTGCAACAGAAATTTATCTTTACACTGTATTTATGCCGGAAATGTATAAATTAATGTACATTGAAAAACATAAGTAATAACTGTATTGATATTTATTAAATCTATACTAATATTGTAATTAGGAAAGATTAGTATTTTTGTATGTATCGAAATACCTCAAAAATTACTTGGCAGATTAGTCAAATTCTTTCACTATTGAATAGCTACATTATTACTCAGTAACACAGTCTATGTTTTTATTCATTTATCTATTCTTTTTCACTTTGTCACTTTAAATTTAACGCCGGCCAAGTCGCAAGCAAGCAGTTATCTCATGTAGTAACTGTTAAAAAATCACACGTTCCCTGCAAATTGCTAACTAAACTATTACGAAATATTTTAAACAAGTAGTTAACCTAACGATATTGATATATCGAATACAATTAACCCTATATTTAACTCAGTTGTGCTTTAATGTAAAAGTTAATCATCTGTCAAATTGAAGGCCGCCATTTTTGTTTACGCTATTTGTCATACGTACGCACGTAATTAGTAGACTGCCTTGTTTTTTATAAATTATAATTATAAAATTATTATAAATGCGAAAGTTTAGATGGATGGATGGATGGATGGATGGATAGATGGATGGATGGATGGATGGATGGATGGATGGATGGATGGATGGATGGATGGATGTTTGTTAGCGTTTGTAGCCTAAACGGCTGAACATATTTCTATGAAATTTCGCACAGGTTTAGAGCATAGTCTGGAAGAACACATAGGCTACTTTTTATCCCGGGAATAGTTACGTTTCCCTTGGGATTTATTAATTTAGTTTTTCAATGTTTACTCGATCATTCTGCAACGGTTCAACATATTTTATTGAAATTTGGCACAGACATAAAACAAAGTCTGGTGTACACATGGGAAAAGGTTCATCCCCGAGAAATGTACGGTTCCCGAGGGATACGTAGTTTTTTGTTATCTAAATAGTCTTATGTTTTCTAATACCGCGCGGACGAAGTCGCGGGCAACGGCTAGTAAAAATATAAATATTAGATATCTAAGGCTAGGGTTTTAATAATTGATGTGTCGTAAATTATCAATGTTCAAACATCATAGAATACTTTTAGGTATAAAATTAGAAAACTTACAAAATAAGTGAGAAAACACGTTCACACAATTATTTATTTAAACAGAATTTAAACATTAATTTATTAACTTTAAGGTTGCTAACATATTAATCACGCAAAACATCTTAATCAATTTTGGCGCCAAGGTAAATACTTAATTTAATTATTTAAATTATAACGTCTGTTGGCCACTTCCTTAGCAATGTTCATATTTAGATATAACTGTTATTTATACTAATATCTATCTATACTTCTATACTATTATAATAAAGCGTAAACACACACTTCTTTGTTGCCTAAGATGTCAGCAATTACAGCATGTTTTTGAATAATTCTTTTTTTAATAAAAAGCCCTACACTTACACGTCACGCTTTAGGTTATATATTTTAACGCCATTAAACTTAGGGGGTAAATATTTTGGATAAAACCCTAATGTGGGAAAGAGACCATAGGTTGCTGGCAACGTCAAGAAAGAAAGAAAGATTGCTAAGGTTTGTCATGTCATGTCAGTTTGACATCTGCTATTATAATTTGACAAATGTGAAGAATAAAATAAATATTTTCATAATATCATGCGGATGAAGCCGCACTGGAATAGCTAGTAGTACATATAGAAGTTACTCGGTGGTAAAGAAGCTTTGAATATCGTAAAAAAATTTTTAATCTGTTAAGTAGTTAACTATTTAATACCTACTGCAACAATTTAAGGGTTAAAAAAAAATTACCTGTAGTACATTAAACATGCAAAACTACCGCGTTCCTCATATTTATTATCCCAACCGACCTTCTTCGACCCTTTGTCACAATCCATCGTTGACACATACGCATGCGAGGCTGAGCAAGAAGGCAGTGTGAGATAGTAGTGAATGAACTAACAGTGCAGGAAGACCATCAAATACGCGCAGCGCAGAACAATCAGGTAAGCCCGCAAATATCCGCTTCGGGGAACTTTTCCGAACCTTACTGTCCTTTAGACCCTTATTCATTATCCGACCTAAATTCAATACTATCCAAAGACGTGACGATCTTCCAACACCGTTGCGCTACACTATTTTTTTTATATTTAATTAGAATTTGGGTATTTCCTTATTTCTTTTTTTTTAACTGCGTGTACACGTTGTAATAACAGAACGGAAATAACCTTTATGTACATCCCAAATTCAAAATGATGTACAAACATTTTAACGGCCCTTACCGTACATC